AGCTCCCAAGGCCGAAGCTCAGAGATTCTAGTTCAGTGGCATCTGCAATGTGTTGCTCCAAAGCATAGATTTTATGGCTACTTAGCTCTTATCAGTACCCATAATACAGGAAAAAAATAAAAACTATAGTACTTGGTGTATGAAAGTACCAATTATATACGGTAGGAAGAAAGGCTCCTGTGAAGAAATATTTCTAGTAAATCCAGGAAAAAATCAGGCTGATGTGCAGGGCACTTGGGCATTCGATCAGCACGCCCTTTGGGGAAGGAACAAGAGATGACAGAGCCGTTAGCAATGGAGTTTTTAAACGGGTGTCTTCTTGGCACTGCGCCTGGTCCCAGAACCGAGAGAACCCTTTCGTCCTGAGTTACTTGCCTGTTTTCAGCTGGAAGTGGCCTGCAGGCTGGGGATGCCACGGGGAGGCGAGAGCCGCCACGGACTGCAAGCTTGGGGTATGCTGCTTCAGATCTGCAGTCACGTTGCTGATCCCATAAACACCCAGCATTTCGATCACCACGGCAGGCAAGTACACCAGCCTCCCTTTGGTAGCATAATAACCCACTGTGACGTTATGAGAATGTTCCAGAATGTCCACCTGCAAAACAGACGGACCCACAGAACTCAGTGCTTGTTTCCACTTTAAGTTCTTGGTGTTTCCTAGGACCATTTAGCATGGCTGGGGAAGAGGATGTTCTCGTTCAACAAATATTCTAACAACCCTATAAAGCAGACGTAGATTGGCAAGTCTCAAAATATCAGAATACAACAAAATATAAACTATATTGAAACTACATGGAACAGAATTAAATCTGTGCATTTTTGATTCCTTAAGGGACTCAGGATAATCCTGTGAGCACCAATTATCTCCCAAAATGGCAGGCAAAATAGATTTCCAGGAAATGGCATGCTAAAAAATAGCTTTATTATATTGCTCATCATTTACGGAAATTAAAAGGCAGAAGTGAGAGAACAAGTGGGGGCACTTTCAAACAGTGTATGAGGTGACTTCCTCTCTCTAGAAGCTGAGCGAAGAATTGTTTAGAGGTCACCTGATTCTTGACATGTAGTTGGTTCAAGATTGAGGTGGGGGTGGGCCATGGAGAAAGTTTCTCTTATAGCTGAGTCTTAAGAGATATGATAATCTGAGCTCTTCTTAACCCAATTGGAAGGTTTTGAGACTTTAGATTTTACTATTTATTTTTGCTTTCTTTGGTTTTTATATTAACAAGTCAGGGTGTTCTTTTGTGGTTTTTAAATTTTCTTTATTGATTAAGGTATTACATATGTGTCCTTATTCCCCCATTGCCCTCCCCTCCCCTCCTCATGCCCTCCCCCTCCTGGTGTCTGTGTCCATTGGTTAGGCTTATGTGCATGCATACAAGTCCTTTGGTTGATCTCTCCCTTTTACCCCCACCCTCCCCTGCCTTCCCTCTGAGGTTTGACAGTCTGATCGATGCTTCTCTGTCTCTGGGTCTGTTTTTGTTCATCAGTTTATGTTGTTCATTGTAAGTCAGGGTGTTTTAAACACCCACTTTCCCCCTTTATTTTGGCATCTCCATGAGTAGTGTCACATGCATTTGCCCAAGGGATCAAGAAAACTGGTTTTGCAACAGGCTGGCTGTGCCTCTGGTTCCTCCACACTTTGTTCCCAAAGGTGGTGCTCCAGATGTGTGTCCTCCATATTTGGGGTTTCTTGAGCTGCTACACTCCTTCAGCTGCTTCTCGTGTGTCACAACCTAGTTTATTTGTCTTCTGCTGGACCCCTCAGAGCATGTAGGAAGGCATTCCAGGCAGCCTTTGTCCCTTCTAAAGTGGGGAGCCTGGGCATCAAAGGTAGTTTTCCCAGAGGTATCACGGAGGGATTGTCTTCTTGTTGGCAGCAGAGAGAAATACTTCATACAGAAAACAGACTGATGGTTGCCAGAGGGGAGGGGAGGTTGGAGGTTGGGTGGAAGAGTTAAAGGGGTTAAGAAGTATAAATTGGTAGCTACAAAAGAGTCACGTGGGTGTGAAGAACAGCAAAGGAAATATAGTCAATGATATTGTCATAACTACGTATGGCACCGAGTGGGTACTGGAAATATGGGAGGATTACTCTGTGAAGCATATGATTGCCTAACCACTAGGCTGTACACCTGAGACTAATACAAAGTAATACTGAATATAAACTGCCACTGGAAAATTAAAAAAAAATTGTTTAAAGGTGGCTTTCGGTGGAACAAGCTACTTTTGGATGGAGCATGGACACAGCAGTAGGGATGCCAGAGAGAAAGTGGCTCCTGCCCCCGTCCTTCTCATTACCCTAAGGACTGAGTCTCAGTTTGGGGAGTACTTACTTTTAACACCCCTCTAATCCTTACAATCACATTTTTGCCAACCATGTCTAGCTTGAATTTAACAAGCTGCTTCCATTATTCTCACTTTTATGATTCCCTTTTCTTAGGGAATTCCATTTGTGGTGGTAATATCAAATATCCTTTCAAAAGATATGTATTGAAGTTCTTAAAAGGGAGCCAATTAAAAAAAATACATTCTGTTACAGCAGTCTGTGAGGAGATGCAGAAAAGGCAAAAACTATGAAGGTCGTTTACAAATGAGAGAAGTTTAGTGGAACCTGTATCAGGCAACCAATAGAAACATTCACATTTTTCACTCTCTCTTTTTAAAAAAAAAAAAATATATATTTTTATTGATTTCACAGAGGAAGGGAGAAGGAGAGGGAGAGAGAGATAGACACATCAATGATGAGAGAGAGTCATTGATCAGCTGCCTCCTGACGCCCCACACTGAGTTTCAAGCCTGCCACCCGGGCATGTGCCCTGCCCAGGAATTGAACCATGACCTCCTGGTTCATAGGTTGATGCTCAACCACTGAGCCACGCTGGCTGGGCCACGTTTTCCACTTTGAAATAGCGTTTCTGCCACAGAAACCACAGATGCCTCACATGAAATGCGTTTCTTCTTTTTCTTTCTTTCAAAATTATATACAAGAGACTAACAACGGCCAGCAAATTATGTACCAAACCTTATTCCTAGTCCTTGGTGTGGTAGTGGGGGGAGAGGACCACCAAGCCAACTGCAGCTGCAGAACAAAACATCAAGCGAAGAGGCCAGAGCAACAGTTCCAAGTGATGCAGAGGGTTGCCCACCGACTGCCAATTGCATTTACTGCTTTAAAACTTGGAATCAAACCAAAAGCGTGTAAAGTGAGGCTTCCATCACAGCGAGCAGTTGTTAAATAGTACTTGGCATTAGAGTATTTGGAGGGGAAAAAAAAGTGTTTACTTCCCCGTCTGCTGCAGGCAATTTGAGCAAAGTTGGACTCAAATTACAAGTCAGAGTAATTTTTAAATGTCCCGAAATAAATCATTAACTATTTACAATGGCGGGGAAGATAAAGGAAGAAGTAATGGATGATTTCTGGAGAATTTACATGAACAATTACTAAGTACTTTTCCCAGACAATGGGATAATAGGACCAATTAAAACAGTATATCCAGGCTTTAAGAAAAATCTGGGCATAAGGCAATTAGCCTCAATTTTCCACCTCAAGATTTGACCTTTTTCCCCAACAACAACACATGAACTATTTGCCAAAATGGAAAAAAAAAAAAATATGCTCCGTGGCTATGGTACCCAGGAGGGGAGGAAAATGATCTGAACCTACTCTGGTCCCCCGAGGAAGACAAGACCGGATTAGACGGATGACAAGGCAAGGGGCTTACGTGAGCTGAGACGTCATTCTGGTGGAAAGCCTTGCGCAATGCCTGCGTGAGCCCTTTGGCTATACTGAGCTTCAAGGTTTCACTGATCTGCGCTCTCCTCTGCGTCAGAAAGAGAACTGCGGGACAGAACCGAAGTATGGTCATCAGGGTAAGGCAGCAGATGCCCCAGTACATGAGCCCTCCTCTCCTCCCCGGCCAACACCTCCCACAAGTTCTGCTCGAAGCCGGTGAGTGCAGGTCCAATGAGGGCAGAGCTGGGGTCGCAGCTCTGCGGGCCCCACTCACGTCCTAAGGAAAGAAGGCCCTCGCCAGCCATTGTGCAGAGAGACAGCCATCATGCCGGGGGCACTTCATTTCAGACCAATGCTGCTTCTGACTTGGGAAGGGGTTGCTCAGCAGGACCTGCCCCTGGTGGGTCTGCATTCCCTCAACAGCATCCCTAAGAGCTGACTTAGGGGCAGGCGCTGAGCTAGGTGCTGCAGCCTGAGTCAGGAAGGCAGGCCCCACCCCACAAGAGTGACAGAGACAGGGATGGAGACCAGGGCATGTGTGACTGACTGACAGGTGCTATTTGAAGGGAAGCCTAGGATGCTATTGGAGGCCCAGGAGGAGCATCCAGCCCTGACGTGGGCCAGGGCGTGGGGACCTAGGAAGGTTCCTGGTGCTTCTGCTGAGTCTTGAAGGATAATGGGAGTGAGCCTGCCAGCGGGGGGAACCCACTCCCACCCACTCTTACCCACTCCCAGAGGAGGGAGTGTGGTTCCTTGAACTACATGTGCAAAGGCACAGGGGAGAAGAGTGAAATATTTCAGTGTATGTGTTTAGGCTTGGTCCTGAGGGCAACGGGAAGGGAAGGGTTTTGAATAAAGGCATGCATTTTAGAAGGTTCCTTTAACTGCAGACTGGAGAACAGGCTGGTGGGGGGAGGGGGATGGAGTCTGAAGGCAGAGAGATAAATTTGGCCATTTGATGCAGAAATTTAGGTGAGCGATCGTGACAAGGTGAACTAGGGAATTGGTAGCTGTGGTGGAGAGAGTGTTCCAGGAGAACTGAAAGGAGCTGGTGACTGACAGGGTGTGGCTGGGGATGGAGGGGGAGGATGTTCCAGACTTCTGCATCCAGGCGGTTGAGGTTGTCACTCAGAGGAAGTGGCATAGATTTGGAGAGCAAGGGGGAGGGTAAGTGGGAAACCAGGTGGTATAATTTCTTGAGATACAGGAAGAGATACTGTACTTTCTGCTATGCCTAGTTTCATATCCGTAACATAGGATATGCCTCAAGAAATAATTTCATTTAGTTCTTTGTGGGGTGAAGAGGAAGGTGGGATGTGGGCATTCGACACTGGCATCCTCTTTCAAATACTGTGTCTGATGCTTTTTGTAGCAAACACTACCACACGATGCAAAGGACCCTGTGCCTTCTTGGTCTGCTTTTTAACATCAAAAGAAATCCCGGGTGCCCACGCAGCGTACCGTAGCCGTACTGTTAGTACCTGCTAATGGAGAAAACCCATGACACAAAGCCTTTCTGAATTCCGTGGCGCTTCCCGAAGTTGTCTATTTACTAACACATCATTCATGCCTGGGAAACATCACTACAGACAAAGCTTGTGCTTCCTCCGACCCCTGGCCGAACTGGTTTCCAAGGGGCCTCTGATTTCAGGACTGATCCCGGGTCTAGATGGTGTCACAAAACGCTTGTCTTACCCTCCGTCACTGGATAAAGATCGGGGGTTCCCAACGCTGGCACTACTGACATTTTGGGCTGCTGAACTGTTCTTTGTCGTCAACCATCCTGGGCATTGTAGGATGCTTAGCAGCCTCCCTCGTCTCTATCTCATTAGGTGCCAATGCACCCTCCCTGCCCTTCAAGACCACCCCCAGCCCCACATCTCCAGATGTGCAAATATCCCCGGGGGAGGGGGAGCTAAACTGCCCCTGGTGAGAACCACTGATCTCAAAGAAATCTAATCATTCTGTTGCCTCTCCGAAGCCATCATGTGCTTGCTGCTCCAAGTCAAGTCAGGAGAGTGGAGTCTTACCTGTCTTCACCAGGAGTTTACTGGACATCTGACACTCCAGGTTGGACGCCGTTTTGCCAGTTGTGACCACAGCCGTCGACACAGCGGGAAACAACCGCGTGGCCCTTACTGGTGCGGTGACGGACGTCAAGGCGGCCGTGATTGTCAGCGAGCGTGTGGTGGACGCCCTGGGCAGGTCTGGGTTGGTGGGGTTTGGGAGGTGCGTGTGCATGGCTTGTGGCTTCCTGGGGAGGTGTGTTGTGGACAACAGGCCGGAGGCGGTGCCCGTGTTCCCTTGCATGGCTGTGTGAGTGCTCGTGGTGTGTGCTGATTTTGCAAACATGTAGGTTGGCGTGAACGAGGAGGCTGGGTGGCCTGGCCCTGGTGTCGCCTTCGGGCCCGATGCCGTGTTGTTTGTGACATGTCTAGCTAGAGCAGTGGTCAAACTGCTCTTGACTAATCCAGAGGCCACGGCCGAGGGGCTGCTGCCAGGGCCCTTAGCGACCAGGGCTGCAGACAGTGCCGCCGGACTTGATTTCCTCAGGAGCAACGTGGATGCTGCTGCAGCTGCTGTTGGTTCTGCCTTGGACGCCACTGCGAAGTCCACTGTAAAGAGAGAAAAAGCAAAAAGTTTGTCACTCGCCCACAGTGTCCACATCCCTTGAGGTGATGAATGGATGTAACTGATGGGTTTGCTGGGATGAAAAGTCTCTGTGCTCTGAAATTTAGGCCACAGAGCTTAGGCTCATTCAGTCAATTAAGCACAATGAGAATGCCAGTTATAGCGAAGCTATGGTCGGTAATAAGGACACTTAAATTCTGAATACTTTCAAAAACACCACGTCGGCAGAGGATCAAGGGCATGGCTATTTGGGGCTGCTGAGTCTTTCACCAGCGTGGAAGGGTGTGTCTGCTCCTGAGCAAAGCTGGGTATCTGTGTTGAGCTTGAAGATGCTTTGGCCACAGGAGCAGTCATACCTGTTTTCTGGGTACCAGGAAAGAAACTTCCTGCATTAGTGGCTGCACCTGTCCATTTCTTGGGGCGCTGAGAAGGCGGAAGCACTTTGGATGGGGTCCTGAGTGAGGCCCTGGTTGACAGAGGAGATTCAGCAGTAGAGCGATATCGTGGGATACTCTGGAATGGTGTGGAAGCATGTACCGCAGGAGATGGGTAGAAGTTGCTGGAAATTTTGGAACTTGTATCTATTCCATCTGAAAACATCTCCTGCAAGCCAACTGTGGAAGGCAGACTTGGAGAGGGTAGCAAGAGAGGCCATGTTGGATGGACAGGCTGCTGTACATGGGGATGAGACGGGACTTGTTGACTTGTGGATGGGTCATCTCCAACTTCAGTTGCTTGGAAGTCTCTGGGATGGTTATTACTTGTAGACAAGACACCCGTTTGGTTTCCAACCATGGTAACATCTGACTGTTGGATGGGCTGGTTGGTGCCTGTATCAAGGACTGAATCCTGAATGCCAAAGCCTTCTGCAGTTGCTACATGCCCAGCAGTGTCTTTGAGATTCTGGGGGTCTATTGTATTAACAGCTGAAGCTAAAACACTGGGGGCAGGAGAGGAAGCTGAGTGAGGTTTCCAACTTGTGGAGTTAATTGTGTGCCCATTTATAGCATAATTTGTTTGCTGCAGCAAGCCAGATATCGTTGGTTCTGTGGAGAGGGATCCAGTTTCTGCGGAAAGGGAACTCCGGAACACATCTGTGACCGCTGGCTTTTTCACACTTCCCATTGTTGAGAAATCATAGACCTCAGTGGAGGAGGGAAGTGCCGTCACCTGTTTGGAAGTTGAAACTGGCAGCTCCGAATGGCCCGTCGCAGCTGCGTCCATCTCTGGCTTGCTGCTGGAAAAGCCGGGAGATGGGGAAACAGTCTGGGCGGCTCGTGTGGAGGGGAGAGAACGTGGAGGTAATTCTGAAGCAAGGTTTGTTCTTGGCGTTGTACGGACAGTGGGTGAAATAGGATCAGTGCTGAAAGCAGAGGTGAATCCGTTCAGAGTGTGAAGACTCAGAATCTCTTTACTTCGGAAGGTCTGGAGAGCAACTGTCAAACTTGCTCTTTTGTTTTTCCTTAGGACAGCTGTCCCGCCTCCTTCCTTCTGCAGCGGGAACGTCCAAGTGGTGGCAAGGAGATTAGGAAATGTGCTTGAGAGGGGGAAGTTGGTAGTGGCAGCCAGAGGGGGTCCACCGTGGCCCTCTCCCTGAGGAGTTGGCATTTGGGGCGGGGTGGATGGAGAGGCATGGTTCCCTCCCGGCTGCAGGACAGCGGGAGAGTCTGCTATTGCGCCCTTGCCCTTCGAGGGTGATGCAGGAACCGCCCCGGAAAGGAGGGCTTGTCCTCGGCCGCCTGTGGTGGGAGGCAGAGGAGAAGGCACCAAAGAGGAAGATGTGTGTTCCGCGGAAAGGATGGGCCCTTCAGAATTCCCTGGAGCTGCTGACAGGTACAGTGGGTTAGCGGAGTCCTTTGCAGTGGCGGCGGCTAGTGTCCTGCTGGTCATTTCCACCGCCCCTGACTCAGGGGTCTGGAAAAGTGAGGGCACAGCCCCCCTCTTCAGAGCTGGCAGCGACGCCCCCTTGTGCACTGTTTCGGCCACCTCCGCTGTGACTGGCTGGGTGGACGCAGGTCTTGATGCCGCTTCCAAGCTTGACCAGGAGGGAGTTCCACGGGGCAGGTGAAGACTTCCAAGTGCTGGGGGAGAGGGAGACCGATGGGCCAGGTCTGGCCCGGACCTCAGAAACTCTGGTGTGGGGGAGCCTGCTGCGCGGGGATCCTCCGTGGGGGGCAGCTCCGAATACTGCTTTGTTGAAGATCCAGAGAAACCTAGACGGGGGATGCTTATTAAATCCTGGGCATTTGGGGATGGAGTGTGGTTCCTTTTGTCAGTAAGTGGGTTTTGGGGTTTAGCCACGCTCTGGCTTGGAGAGCAGTCAGTTGGAGCTGTTTGGGGGACTAAAGGCACAGTGGTGGGTCGCCCAACTGGCTTAGAAAAGATGATGGGATGAGGCGAGTCAGGAGCCAATGAAGGGGATGGAGGTGGAGGGAGAAGCGGGAGAATGTCTGACCTCAGAGAATGTCGTTCTGAGATGGAAGGAGCCCCTACCCATACTGGCTGAGACGGAAGGACAGGGCTCAAGGACGTCCCCGAGGGGACAGTGGGCCATGCAGGGAGCATGCTAGTGTGAGGCAAACCTGACACACCGGCTGCTTCTCTTCCCCGTGGCGGTCTTGGCTGGACCGGCGACTCGGTGGAATCCTTGGAAGGCTCGAGGGAGGCGCTATATCCGCTCCCTTGGTGAGGGGAAGCGGAGAGGTCCCCGTGAGCCCGAGGCCTGCGGTGTGTCTTGGGAGGAGGTGTTCGGGAGAATGGCAGCACGCTGGTATTGTCAGGGGTCGGGCCCAGCACATCCTTGATTCTATCCACTGCGGAGGAAGACTGGACTTCGGAGAAAGGCCATGTTGGTGAAATCGGGGACAATTTCCCGGGAGGAAACGACTCCGGGTTTGGGGTGACAGTTGCCTGTAGGTTGTCTGTTTCTGTGAAACAAAACACCAAGCGGTCAGACATCAGCCAGTAAGTACCTGCAGGGGTAGGTCCTGGAGAGATGGCGTGGGCAGGAAGGCGCTGCTCAGACCTCTTCCACCCCTGCACTGAGGACGCATTAAACACTCTCAATGCATCAGTAATTAGAAATATGCAAATGCTGCAGCTGACCTACAGGGCAGGAATGGCGACAAACTGTCCCTGTGAAGTGATGTTTAAGCAAAGATGTGGGACACACTTGCGTATTTTAAATCTTTTTTTTGATACCACCTTAGTCAAAGACAAATGGGGCTCCCTGCCGTGGCCACTGACACCAAAACAAACCTCATCCGAAACCCAAACCGCCCAACGAAAGGACCACGAATCCAAATGCAGGTCTTTGCGTAGGGCCCTGTCGCAGCTCGAGCAGAATAACTGGGGCTGCCTGTGTTTGGAGAGATGGCAGCAAGGAGACATGTGTCTTACTGGATATGAAAGGATTCCTGATGCTATCGTTCATGCCATGTCAAAAGCACAGGGGATTTCTTTCAGGTTAGGCTACTTCTGCAAGAAAAACTCTTCCCATCCAACCTAGGACCAGAGACACCCCCTCCTCATCAGCTGGGGTCCCTCCGAGCAGACTCACTCTCCCTGATGGCCTGATGAATTGAGAGGCCATGTTGAGAAAGCCCACGCAACACAAACTGTGGTGGCCGCTGGAGCTGCAGAAGTCTCTGGGAACTATGAGCGGCCTCTCCTAGCAGAAGGTGGCTCCAGCAAACAGCCGGCAAGAAGCCAGGGCCTCCCAATGCTGCCTCGGTTGCCTCCTGAGTTCCTCGAAACTACTCCTGTAACCCAGACAATGGCCGTCCTTTCCCACTCAGTGCTGTTCCTTTGGCTGCTGGAGACCCCCAGGAGAAGTCAGCCTACGCTTCCAACCATAGTCATGAGACCCTCCCTCTGTCCCACTCACTGCCCACCTGCGGGTTTTCCTACTTGCAGCCCTTACAGAAAAGCAAACCCAACCACCAACAGCTCTTAGATGTAGGGAACTAAGCCAACCAACTAATAAATATTAATAAACACCCCAAACCCCTCCTCCTCGTCTGCCAGAGAAAGACATCTGCAGCTTTCTGTCAGGTCCCAGAGTCAGACTGCCTGGATTCAAATCCCACTCCTCCATCTGCTAGCTGTGTGACCTTGGACAAGTCACTTCACCTCTCTGGGCCTCATTTCCTCATTAGTAACATGGGGGCAATTACAGTACCTACCTCATGAAATTCTCTTAAGGATTAAAGTGAAGTGATACATTTAAAGTCCTTAGGACAGTGCTTAGTGCTCCCCAAATGCTAGCTGTTGATGGTGTTGCTACTGGTTATTTGTTCAGCCCCAGGTAGGCATGGACACACTCAGAAGCTTCCTCAGAGAACCCAATGCCAGTTAGGACTCATTGTCGCGATCCCCCACATCTGTGGGGGCCCTTAGAGTCTGCAGAATATTGTCACACCCTAATCCCACCTTGAGGAAGAGGAAAGGTTATTACCCCCATTTTACAGTTGAGGAAACCAGGGCTCGGGGGGAGCAAGTGCTAACTTGGCCCAGGTCACACAGAGAGTTATTCTATAGTCGAGTATGTCTCACTTCTTTCGACGTCAAGCTCAAGTCTCCCCAGTGCTGTGCGTAGGAAGCAGGTCTTCCTCCACCTTCCGGTCTGGGCTGGGCTCCGTCCTCCCAGAGGGACTCCCCCACCCCCCAGACCGGCGCCCACTCAGGAGCTCCCTCTTCCTCCTGAGTTGGATGGTGTGTCCCTCTTTGGCGCCGCTTGGGCACTGAGCACAGCTCCACATCACAGAGACCTGTCAGGCTCTGACTCCCAGAAGGTCAGAAGAGATGGCAGAGGCGCCATGGCTATGCTGAGGCATCCGTCCCACACCCCGCAGTTCTGAAGCCTGGCACCGGGGACATTCTTGCCTAAGATGATTTCTCTTGGGGCTTTTTAAAAACAAAATGCACCGGTTAATAGAATCAAATTGCCATTCCTTGAAGCGCTGCCAGCAAATAAGAGGATTCTGTTTAATGCTTTGACATTCAACATTTTTGTGTTCACAGAGGTTTTCTTTTTGTAAGAAGTTTACGGCTTTCAAATCCTTTGTGAAACAGGCTTAGAGATCAACTTGACTCCCCCTCCCCCCCCATTATATACAATGTCACTTTCATTTTTTAAAACCTCGGTTTATGTGATCATTACAGAAAATTTAGCAAAGAAGGAAAAGTAGAAGGGAGAGAAAAAGAATCCCAGTCCTCCCTCAGCGCTCTCCACGTGCAGGTCCCAGCACACGGAGAAAACCAGGTTCACCCTGAGGTGAGCTGCACGTCCGGACTTCATCCTTGGAAAAGCTTTGGTTCGCTTGCTTTGCAGACCTGTAACCACACTGCATTCCCAACTCTGCACCTGCTCTTTCTCTTTGAACAGTACATTACAGCATATTTCCATCCTGGATGAGGACGCATATTATTTCCACTAAGATGTGGTATGTATTTTTGTTTGTTGAAACATCCCCCAACTGTCAAGGTGCAGTTGTTTATAAAAGTTCAGTATCTATAATAATAAAAGCATAATATGCTAATTAGACTGGACAGCTGAACGACTTTCCAGACAAAGCCAGGGCTGCAAGGGCCAAGGGCAGCCGCCGCGGCTACGAGGGCCGAGCCCCTTGCATGAATTTCGTGCATCGGGCCTCTAGTTATAAATAATGGCCTCATCCCCTTCCAATGTTGTCATCACAAACGCTCTGTGGCAGGTGGGACAGACACAATGACTTCCTCTTAGGGTCTAGGGCCCCCCCACACACACACAAGTTCACGCGCATCAGAAGTAAACCAATGGGACTTCGAGTTCTCTCTCCTCCCGCTATGCCCTGGCACCCTTCTGATCTTTCTGATGGGGTCACTTGTAAGTTTAAAAACTTCATCCCACAAGATGGCATAAACTCAACCTAAAACAAACAAACACCCACAACTGACCTCC